GGGGGTGGGGGGGTCGCTGAGGGCCCATAACCCCCCCCCCACACAGCCCCGAGCGGGGTGGCGCTAAAAACACAACTCCCCAGCGCGGAATTCACGGAGACGATGGCAGCTCACAAACCAAATACAATCAAGCATACACATGGGACGCATCAAAATCGCCGCTCTGGCCAGCGTGACGATGGTTTTTGCAACGAAACCGCAGGCCGAGGCGGGCGCGGTGTCACAACCGAGATGCTCTTCCGTTACTGGCCGCGCCTCATCGTTCATGCTGGGAGGCGAGAATTATACCCACGCTGACGGATTACAAGGCAGCGGTGATCCGTCGCACGTAGAGTGCTTCCGCGTCAAGGGCCAAACCGACGAAAGCGGCCGCATCTTCTGCCTCCCTTCATGGACATTGCTGGCAAGCGGCAAGGCGGGGAGTTCGGCTCTGTGGAAATTTCTCTGTGGGGACAAGGAGACGCACAGCTGCAGACAAAAGGAAATGCACTACGCGAATTGGGTCGAGGCCGGCCGAGCGATGGGCGAGGTCGACGCGGTTCTAAAGTACTTCCCGCGCGACCCCGGAACATCGGCTGGATTCGTGGCAGACGTTTCGCAGCGTGATCTTCCCGGCGAAGGGCTACTCAACTTTCTCCTAGACAGCAGTTGCAACAAGCAGATGCACCTGATCAGGAACCCGATCCAAAGAGCGTACTCGTCGTGGGCTTTCTGGTGCTTCGCCAATACGGATCGAGGGTGCGAACCAAACGGCGGGTGGGTCGTCAAAACGCCGAACGCGCTCCCGCGCGTGGCGAAAAACTTTGATTGGTGGCTCAACCGACCCTGTGGTGACTCGACGAACCAGTGCAATTGGCCCCCGTTTTCGAAGGACTTCAGCGTGAGCGGATGGGAAACGAATTCCGTAAAAGCTGCATACGAAGCAGTTTCCGCCGACGCTTGGCAGGTGATTAGCGTCCCACCGGCTTCGAATGCGGCTAGTCCGGGAGGCAGACGACTGGCCATCATTCGCACCGAGTTTATGAAAGAACAGCCAGCCGAAACAATGAAGGCAGTGTACGACCATCTGGGCTTGCGCGCACCGGCGAGTGCGGAGAAGTGGGGGGCGGCCATCAACACAGGGGCTAATCCTGGTATACTCGCCCAGGGAGACCACAACCACCAGGAACCTATGTTGGAGGCTTCGAAGAAGCTCCTCTGCCAAATGACCGAGTACAAGCGCCACTTGACAAACGCCCCCACGTGGCTGCCGATTCTCGAGTCTGACCGCGACCTGTGTGAATTGGTGCGGACCTCGAGGTCGTGGTGCGGGAGCCCATCTGAGTTATGCGCCCCCGGTTGGAAGTGCGATGAGGATCATGCCAGCGACCCCCTTTTCGTCTTGATCCTTTGCAAACTCCGCGAAGCACGCTCTCAGGCCGTTTTGATTCAGCGCCGTCGCCTCGATGGCCACCGCGATGTTTTTCTTTGTTTTGCGGGTTTTCCACATCGTCCAAAAAACGCCGATAAAGAGCAGGCCCGTACCTGGGATATATATGCGAGCCCCGTGACCAGGTCCCGCGGCTCCGCGGCGACTCGCGCGAACTTTTCTCAGCCCAATTGTGGCGGCATATAAAACTGCGAATTATGGTGCGCGCGCGCGAAGGAGCTCTGCTGGGAAATGTCTTCATCTCTGAGATGCTAAGAATTCTGGAGTTTTCTATGGGCAGTCCTCCATGCTGCCATCATGTCCATCGTCAAATTCTCGACGCTCAAGTTGCACCACAAATTTGCCACAGCGAGAGGAGAGCATGGCGGCTGGCGGCAGCCGCTCGCTCCTCCTGCGCCCCGAAGCACCGGCGCTCAACGACCCCGCGCGCGACGAGGCGTTCGATGAGGAGGAGGAGGCGGAGGAGGCCCCCTTGGCGGCGCCGGACGACAAACGCGACGAGCGCACGCCGCACCGCGTCCTGGCCCTCTTCTGGCTCCTCGGCGTGCTGAATAATGCGTCCTACGTGATCATGATCGCCTCGGCGAAGTCCATCGCGTCCGGCGGCGTCGCCCTCGTCTACATCGCCGCGGGCGTGCCCGGCGTGGCGACGAAGCTGAGCGCGCCGCTCTGGTTCGACCGCGTCGGCTACGGCCCGCGGCTCGGCTTCGCGGCGGCGTGCATGGCCGGGGCCTTCGCGCTCGTGGGCCCGCTGAGCTTCGGCCGCACGGGCGTCCAGCTCTCGGGCGTGCTGCTCTGCAGCGTCCAGGCCGCGCTCGGCTGTGCCGAAACCAACCACTGGTTTGGGTGGTCCTGACCAAACTTGAGAATTCTCTAGCTCGGTCAAATCAAAGTCGATTCGGCTGATTTTTGGACGGATCGATCGCTCTCGTCGAGTTCTCGAAGCCCAGCCGAAGAGTTTGTGTCAAAACATTCGAATACGCTCACATTGAAGTCGGGTTGAAGATTTGGTTTCGGCACAGGCGCTCGGCGAGGCGTCGCTCCTCGCGCTCGCGAGCCGCTCCCCGGGCCGCGGGTCCGCGGCGCTCGGCGCGTGGTCGTCGGGCACGGGCTTCGCGGGCATCTTCGGCTACGCCTGGGTCTTCCTCTGCACGCGCGTCGCGCGCCTGGGCCTCGCGGCGACGCAGGCGGCGGCGCTCGCGGCGCTGCCCGGCGCGTACGCGGCCGCGGCCGCGGCGCTCGCGGCGCGGCCGCCGCGGGACGGCGGCGGCGGCGTCGCGCCGCGGCCCGTGGCCATGGGCCCCGCGACGCGGCTGCGCTTCGCCCTGGGCCTCTGGCCCGTGACGGGCGCCATCTTCGCCGTCTACTTCGCCGAGTACGCGATGCAGAGCGGCGTCTGGGCGTCCATGGGCTTCCCCGACCCGCGGTCGGCGGCGCGGCGCGACGCCTTCTACCTCTACTCGAACTGGCTCTACCAGGGCGGCGTGCTCTGCAGCCGGTCGAGCGGCTTCCTCTACGCGCGGCCCGTGCCGCGCGCCGCGCTCTGGGCCATGGCCGCGGCGCAGTGCGGCCTCCTGGCCTTCTTCGCGTTCGACGCCGCGGACCACTTCTGGTACGACCGGAGCGTCCTCGCGCTCTGCTTCGTCGTGGGGCTCTTCGGCGGCGCGGTCTACGTCCACGGCTTCCGCGCGCTCGCCGCGCGCGGCGACGACGCGACGGCGGAGCTCGCGATGCCCGTCGGCGCGGCCGCCGCGGACGCGGGCACGCTCGCGTCGAACGTCGTCGGCCTCTTCCTCCAGGCCTGCCTCTACGACGCGAACCGCATCGGCGGCGCGACCGTGTCCTGGTCCATCTGCTCCGACGGCGTCCACCCGACGTCCCGCTGACGTAACAGACATGTTCCCACGGGGGACTCCCGCGCGCTACCTCGCGTGGAGCGCGGGCGCGGTCTGGGGCCGGTGGAGCGCGCGCGCGGGCGCGCCGGCCGCGCGCGCGGGGAGCTGGGCCGCGGACTTGGAGTCGAGGAGGCCGTGGGTGTTGATGGCGTAGCGGTCGAGCGCCGGGTTCGGCGTGAGGGGCGGCAGGTTCGACGCCGCGTGGGCGCTCCGGCGGACGCCGAAGCCCGTCATGGGCTTCTTCCGCCGCTTGCCGCCGCCGCCGCCGAGGATGGGGCTGAGCTTGTCCCACTTGGACTTGGCGCGCTTCTTGCCGAAGACCTCGGGCGGCGGGCTCCGGCCCGCGCACATGCCGCGCCACGCGTTCCACGTGTCCTTGGAGAGCCACTCCGTGAAGTCGGCGGGCGGCCGCCGCTCCTCCTCGACCTCCTCCTCCTCGGACGACACGGAGATGTCGTCGTAGTCGTCCTCGGGCTTCTCCTCCTCGACGACGACCTCCTCCTTCTTCTCCTCGACGACGACGACCTCCTCCTGCTCCTCCTCCTCCTCGGACTCGGACTCGCTCTCCGACTCCTCCTCCGACTCCTCGAAGACGATGGCCTCCTCCTGCTGGATGATCTCGATGTCCTCCTTGACGAGCTCGAGCGTCGGCGCGACCTCCTCCTCCTGCTTCTGCTCCTCCTCCTCCTCCTCCTCCTCCTTCTTCGCGGGGCCGCCCATCTCGGCGGCGACGTCGCCCTCGACCTCCTCCTGGATCTCGACGTTGTTCTCCTTGCAGAAGCTCAGGAAGGACGCGTCGTTCTTCATCTGCTTGAGCGTCGCCTCGTCGCTCTCGCCGTCGAGGGACGTGATCTGGTCCAGCGTGGCCCAGGACCGGCCGCCGCGCGCGAGGTCGCTCACGGTGTCGTTGAGCTCCGACGACTCCTTGTCCATGGCCTTGGCCTCGGCGTCCGCGTCGTTGAGCTGGCCCTCCTCCTTGGCGCGGAGCTCCAGGAGCTCGCGCTGGCGCCGGATCATGTTCTCCTCCTCCTCGGCGAGCTTGCGCTGCGCGGCCTCGTGCTGCTCGCGCTTCGCCTCGGCCTCGGCCAGCTTCTGCTGCTCCGCGGCGATGATCGTCTCGATGCCCTTGGTGATGTCGTAGCCCGAGCCCGCGAGGCGCTTCTGGGCCTTGGCGATGAGCTTCGCGCGCTTCTTCTCGTCGGTCTCCTCCATGATGTCCTTGAGCATCTGCATGCGCGCCTTCTGCTTCGCCTCCTCCTGCTCGAGCTTCTTCGTCTCCGCGATGGCCTTGATCTTCTCGTCGCGGACCTTCTTCGCCTCCGTCGCGATCTCCTTGGCCTGCGTCGTCAGCGCGCCGATCTTCTCGATGTACTTCTGCTTGTTCTTGTTGAGCTTGCGCTGCTGCTTCTCGAGGTCTTTCAGGCGCCGCTGGTACTTCTCCTTGTTCGCGCTGTTGCCGCTGTTGCCCGTGATGCGGAAGTAGAGCTTCTGGAGGAACATGCGGTACTCGACGAGCTTGATCGACGACGCCCAGGTGTCGACGAGCTCGAAGAGGGACGCGTTGAACTTCTCGTGGTCCATGTTGTTGGACAGGCCGTTCTCTCGCACCCAGTCGGACTCGACCATCTCGCGGACCTCGTCCTCGTCCCAGTCCTCGGGGTCGAAGAGCGCCTTGGCGATGTTCATCTGGACCTGGACGAACTCGGCCTGGTTGACCATGCCCGTCTTGTGGACGCTGCTGAACGTGTTCCAGAAGATGTCGATCCACTTGATGATGACCTTGTCGCAGGAGATGGCCTTGCGCTTGTGCAGGTTCGCCTGCGTGTAGAACTCGACGTTGCCCTCCTTGCGGTACTCCGCGGCGGAGGAGCCCGTGGCCTCGAAGTCGAAGAGGGACTCGTCGGTCGTGCCCTTGCCCATCATGTCGCGCTTGTCCTTGATCTTGCCGTCCATGACGAAGACGTTCGTCTTCGCGGCCGACTCGGCGTTGCGGATGTTGATCTCCGTCTTCTTGAGGCGCGCGGCCTCGGCGTCCTTCTCCTTCTTCGACTTCTTCTTCTCCTTGACCTGCACGCCGGCCTTTCGCATCTCCTCGTTCATGCGCTCGCCCTCCTCCTGGAGCACCTCCTCGAGCGTGTTGTCGACGGCCCATTCGTCGTTCTTCTCCTCCTCGACCTCCTCCTCGGCCTCGCGCTCCTTGTCCTTCTTCTTCTTCTCCTTCTTCTTGTCCTTCTGCGGGGCGGGGCGGCGCATGCGACGGGGGCGGGGGCGGGGGCGGGGGGGGCGACGCGCCTCCTTCTTGTCCTTCTTCTTGTCCTTGATCTTGATCTTCGCGGCCTGCGGACGGTTTCGTGAGGCGCCGGCGGGGTCCCGCGCGGCGCGGGGGGACGCACCTTGCCCTTGGCCGGCGCCATGGCGCCGACGCGAGGTGCCGCGGCGCGCTCCTCCCGAGCTTCTGCAGCACCACCTCCTCCGAGGACGGAGGGGCTGCCCAAAGGATACGAGAGGATGTTGAAGTTTTACGAAGAGCCTGCCGCTCAGTACTTCGCTCAGTCACGCCGGCCATAGGGGGTCGAGTTGCGTCCTTACGACGAAAGTCAGAACAATTGGGCCGGGCGGGCTCCCGTGGGCCGCGGCCATTGGAGGACCGCGGCCGACGCGGCGTTCGCCGGCGGGTCGAGGGCCGCCGGGGCGGCGGCCCTCGGGCGCGACGACGGCGCGGTGGCGCCGGAGCGCTTTCCGGCGGCGCCGGTGTGGCCTCGTCGCGCGCCGGGGGCGCGTCCCCGGCGCGCCGCGGCGACGACGCCGGGCCGCGGCCGACGCGGCGGCGCGGACCGCGGCGGCGCCCGCGCGGCGCGGCGCGGACGTCGGCGGACCGCCGCGGCGGCGCCTCGCCGACGCCGGCGGCCCGCGCGCTCATTTCGGGGTGAGGGCGTCGAAGATGTTGGCGCCGCTGTCCTCGTCGACGAAGAAATCGACCGTCGAGGACGACGTCGTCGACGTCGGGGACCCGTTGCCCTTGCCGGGGCCGCCGCCGCGGCCGCGCCGCGTGCGCGCGCGCGCC